ATCGAGGCTCCACGGAGGTCGGGGTGAGTGAGGCGGTGAGGTTGAAAATTGATCGCGCGTCGCTTTTCTTCCACGCTCGGTCCTCGGTTTGAGAGGCACTGATTTAGGCGACCGCGAGTAGCTGCCGCGCATAGTTTCGGCTTGCCGAACGCACTCTCTCGCCCTCGATAAGGGGATGCAGGTTTGTGGGCCGGCCGCTGCCGGAGGGGTGAGCAGGGGAGCGGGGTCAAACGCGGACCGCGCGATTCTGGTCGGACGGTGACAGCTCGGGCATAGGAGTGTCAGGACGTGAATGGAATTGCGAGCGAAATCGGCCGCATATTCCGACGTTTACATTTATATTCCACTCGGGGAGCGCGGTCGATCCGCGGAGGATCTGGCCGAGTGTATTTGCAAAGGTTCCCCCCCCCAACCCTCCCCCTGTCTTCCCCGGCCGCCCTGTCCACCGGACTACCGGTGCGAAAGTTCCTATCTTGTCACAATTCGACCGCCGACACCGCGCGTCTGACGTTTGAATCGCTTTAACCCTTTCAGATCCATTTTTCATACTCGCATTTTGCTGTCTCTATTGACGCCAGCGGATTTCGCCGGATCAAACGGCGCTGAGGCGCGCGCGCGCGGCGCAGGGAGGGGAGGACAACAGCAGGACACAGCGACAGGAGGTGGCTGGGGGTGGATATCGACTGCCCTTTGAAACAAAATTTGCCTCCGTACAAAGTTAGAATTTTTAGCGTGAGTCTATAGCCGTGCATTAAAGCCGGCCTCCCGATCCTTTGATTCCCCTTTTGGCCGCGCGATAGAGGGTTTGTTATCAATTGCTTTTCGCTTGATGAAAGGGGACGGCAAAGGAAGGGGCGCACGCGCGCGTCTGCCTCTCGGCGTGTAACATATTTGCCGCGAGCCCGTGCGCCAATTTATATTATTATTCATCGCGTGAGCCTTGTATATGTGTCTGCAGGAACCTTTGACGAACTTCTTTCTTCTTCTTCTTCTTCTTCTTCCGTTCCTTTGATCCGCGGCTTCGAGTTCCCGCTGCGCTGGCCAATTTGACAAATTTCGAGTCGATCTTTCTTCTCGGGAGTATTTCCTTCGGCGCGCCGAGGAAATTGCATTCTCATCTTTAAACCTGCCACTTACGCGTTTAGGATATGTCTCCTCTAAAATAGGCATGAAAAAAGTATTCTCGTAACTCGGGAGAGGCATCTTCTTGTGCTTGTAAGAATGGATCCTTAAGAACCATTTTTAACGTATAAAGTTACGTATGACGGGTTATTCTTCGGCTTACGACGACTACGGTATTACGAACGTAACTTTCGGCGGCACACATTTGGCAGGAGCAAAAAGGTTACGACTCCTAAACTCCGCCGAAGCTCGGTATATTGAGAAACTTAGCCCGGCAGATTAATACAAACATGCGTTAATTAATATCAAATATCTCACGCGCTTTAAACATTCCCACCACGTCGAACGAGTCTTCCCGTTCATCTAATCATTCGGCCATTTTTCGTGACCTTAAATGAGCGCCGTTACTTTTTCTTCGTCGTTGTCGTTTTTCTCTCTCTCTCTCTCTCTCTCTCTCTCTCTCTCTCTCTCTCCCTCTCTCTCTCTCTCTCTCTCTCTCTCTCTCCCTCTCTCTCTCTCTCTCTCTCTCTTTCTTCCTCCCTCTTTCTCCTTCCTTCTTTCTCTGCGTCGCGCAAAACGCGGTCGTCGCGCAAAAACAGCAGAACTAATTAATCGCAGCGCGTGCTAATTAATCGCTATTTATAACTAATTCAACGTGTGTACCGACGTGTCGCGGGGGTCGCGGCAAACTGGCACGCGAACGACGGAGTTCACCGCAGTCGTCGTCACGGTTCGTCACTAACGAAGAACATATTTTTAATTTCCGACGCGAGGTATTCCGGATACATCGACGGCAGGGGGAGAGAGCATTCGTATTTTTGTATCCCCGAATATCTATGAGGAAGATTCAAGAGATGTACGTCCCGTCATTTCGGTATAAAAGGTCCTCTTCCGTGAAAAGCACGATATTCCCGGTGTGAGAATCGTCCTTTCTCGCGAAAGGGACGTCCCAATTCGCGCGGCTCGTTGCGGCCGGATATCTCGGCTTCCGCCGCTCGTCGGCTCGTACGTTCGCGCGTTCGCTCGTTAATGACAATTACAGCGCTAAATCGCTGGAAAAGAACGTCGCGCGATCATTTCAGCCATTCGCGCGGCCTCGCGCGAACAGCGCCGCGGCTCTGTAATATATTAACATCTGGGTAAACGTCGGTGCCGCTCAATTAATCATTTCTCCGGGTCGGCGTTCGCCCCTCCCCCCGCCCCGCCCCCGCGGTCGCTTACCATTAAAACGCGCAGCTGATTGTGCTCGCGGGCGATATGCATTGAACGGCGTGCGCGCGAGCGGAGTTTCCTATAAACTGGAATATAAATGCCGGGCAGGAAACAACGCGGGCGCGCAATAACGGTATGCAATACGGCAGTGGCGAGTTTTCTGCGCGTAGCTTATCACGAGCGAGCGAGCGAGCGAGCGAAGTGTCGCGGCCGATTCGCATCGGCACGAGCGCGATCGGCACGGATCGCGTAAATCGCCGATCGTCGCAATTCGGCGCATCCCCGTGAAACGCGTTTCTCGCGGGGGCGAGACGTGTCGTCGACGTCGCGCTGTCGAAAGTCGGGTCTGTCGAACGCCCGTCGGCTTTTTTCCCCCCCTCTCTCTCTCTTTCTCTCTCTCTCTCTCTCTCTCTCGTTTGCTGTCCCTCGCGTTCTTCCTTCTTTCTCCTCCCTTTATTTTACGCTCCAGAACGCGCGTAGCGGCGTATCGCTCGACCGCTCGTTTCCCAGTCTGTTATTAGTTACGTTAGCCGGGAAACGAGACGTTAATTAGGAAAAGATCGGCTGCGGCGGGAAGGAAAATTCGCTCGGCGGCACGAATTCAAAGAACCATCCACACCCCTTTAATTCCGTCGCGACACGTAAAAGCGCGCGTACGGCGTACTTTTTAATTAAGTAATTTCGCAAAGTCCTATGTTAATACCTGTATCATTTAGAGCGACAGCGGCGACGCGCTATACGGTGGTCGGGGGATGTAAGGAAAAAGGGGGGAATTAAAAAAAAAGGGAGACGAACAAAATGACGGACAAGTCGATGAATAAAATATCAGGTCTATCAGAAAATTCGCGCGCGCACACGAGCGTTCCTTGCTTCCTCTCTCTCTCTCTCTCTCTGTCTCTCTTTCTCTCTATCGCTCTCTTTCTCTCTTTCTCACCGCGTGAACGTACTCGCGCGCGAATAACACGAGAAAGAAAACGAACTTCTCGCGAGATTAATCTAACAAAATCCCTCGAGTGCCGAGAGTATTGTAATACCCGGAATTGCCGCCTCTCTACTTGAATAATTGATTCGGGCAAAAAAGTCGCGCGCGCGCGCTCACACGCTCGTCGAACGTGCTCGCACGACCGCGAATAATTCACCGTCAATTTTGAATAAAACATAAGTAATTATCCGCGCGATGGAGTCTCCGCGCGTACATTCTGCACTCTCTTGTATTCTATATTTCTACGGAGAATATATTTCACGAAATATGCATTCACCCCATGCCACCGCCGTCCTCCCACCCGCCTAACCGTCGCCCTTATCATACATCGGCGCGTCATTTATTATTCATTTTTTTTATTTGTCTATCCGCTATGCAAATACAGCAGCGCACGTTTCTGGCCCACCGCGTGCTGCGAGCGGGTGCGCGCTCGCTCTCTCTCTCTCTCTCTCTCTTTCTCTTTTTCTCTTTGTCTTTCTCATTCTCTCTTTCACCCTTTGTCCGTCTTTTTCTCGGTACCTTCACTGTATAAAAGTCCCTTTAATATCGCCGTACGTTAAGAACGGTGTGTCGTCGTATTTCCCGCATTCCTCTCGCGAATAAGAAAATACCGAACGTTAAAGCGTCCGGCGTGGCGCACTCAACTTTCTCTCTCTCTCTCTCTCTCTCTCTCTCTCTCTCTCTCTTCTCTGTCGGTGATATCGCGCAGCGCGTGGAATGTCTTTACGAAGTTGCGCGACAGCTAGAACGTTCGTTATAACATTACGAAACACTAATCTGTTCCGAGTGCGAGCGGATTGCTGGCCTAATTTATGACGTCGGCGCGGTTACATCCTCGCGCTTTTGCCGCGCGCGTGCTCACAATGCGACGCGACAGACGTGCGCGCTTTTTGATATATCGCACGTGCACTGTCGCGCGACGAAATCGCGCACGTAACGGCATTTGCGAACTGTAACACATCGCGCCCTGCACACACACACACACATACACACACACACACGACTCACAAATGGGCCGAAGCAAAGTGGAATATAATCGGCGAGGGCTGATTGTCTTACATGCGGCAATTACCGTGATCGGTTCGGTCCTTCGGCTGTTCGATGCAGCTTCCGTCGATGGGATTGGGGGATCTTTAAATCCTCTTGGGCGGAAAGTAATTAAATTACACGATATAGTGGTTTGCGAATAAAGCGGTATTAATAGATAAACTAAACTCGAGAGATCAAAAGGGGAAGTGGGAAAATAAGGGATGAAATTAGATACGAAGGGAAATATAAAAATAAGAAAGAAATATAATGTAAAGGAAGATGTAAAATGAAATACAAGATTCGGCGCTCCACAAATAAACCGCTGTTGCTAGGTGAATCGAATCAGGGAAATCGAGAGGAAAGGAAAGTATAATATTGGATGAGAGAGAAAAAATAAGGATGAAGAAGAAATTCAGATTGAGAATAAAAAAAAAGTAATGAGAGGTAAAATGTAAATTACAGATATGAAAGGCAAAGGGTAAAAAGAAGAGGTAAAAACGAGAGATCAACACGAGGGAAATAGAGGGAAAGAAAAACAGAGAGAGAGAGAGAGAGGGGGGGGGGAGAGAAAAAAAGAGACAGAACGTCGAAAGCGCGGTAGTGCGTGCGAGGATTGTCGGATTTCGCGAATGAACGATCGCGCTTTTATCGGCGCGCTAAATATTTATTACGGCGTACACAAAACGGATATACTTTTGTTTTTCATATATCGCAACGTGTGCGCGCGTCACGGCGATGCGATTGAGAGGGGTGGGCAGGAGAGACGACGTGGAATCACGGAGAGGAACGACGGACGTTTTCCGATTTGCGTGCCGGCGTGTCGGCGTGCGGGAAGACAAACGAAATTAACGGCGCGGACTGTGCGGGCTCTCCCCGCCCCTCCCCCTCCCCCCGCAGCGTGTCGCATCACCGTTTGCGGCCGGCGCGCACCCGTTTCGCCATTTTGAAGGTGGCCTTTGGGTAGATCTTCGGCTTGGCGAGCCGCTTGATACGCCTGGAGCATCTCGCCTTTAATGCCATCGGCGACACGGTGAAGGCGTCCTCCCTGAGATCCGTCTCCTTGCCGACCGGACGCGACACCGGCTTCGCCAGAGCGATTATTCTCTCGGAAGCTGTGGCATTAAAGGTTACACCGTCTGAGCCCGCTCGGTCTCACGTTATATTGACATCGTCCTCTAAATCGACTTATTTCTTTATCGGCTGAGGCTTAGCTTCCTCGCAAAATAAGATTAACCGTCGCGCGCGCGCCTACGTGTGTGCGTTACAAAACACGGACGGGTCGTTCCGCGCTGTGCGGCATACGGCCCCGTAATCTCGGTCGAATTTCATTTTGCACGGACACACGTGTACGCGCGATACTTATTTGATTAGTTAGTCGCCGGTTGCGCTACGTAACTGGATAATACGGCAATATGTGGCTCAACTTTCTAAACTAGCGAGCCGTAGCCGAGAGCGCATTTCGGATTACGAGCGTTCATAAATGTCTAAACGGCACGACGATGGAGGGGCTTAAAGAATGTCACACACGTTAGCCCGCACGTTGGAATTATATCTCGCTGTCGTGCGATATATAACGATCGCCGAGGAACGATCGGAATTCGCCGATCGGGCGTTACCACTGGGGAATGTCAACTTCATTCGGATCCGTCCGTCCGATTCGCCGTAATCTGAAAACGCGCGAAACGGTCGATTGTATTTCCTGCGGAGTGATACCGGCAGAATTAAACGCCATTATGATGCGTGCGTGCGGTCACCGGGACGGTTCCGTCGGTACTTCATGTATCAATCCTTTTTCTAGCTTGGGAAAAAGTAAAGGCAGAGAGGAGGAGGAGAGAGGAGGAGGATCGAGAGAAGAAACAAGAGAGAGAGAGAGAGAGAGAGAGATGAAGGATAAGCGGAACATCTCGATTTATGTCTTTTATATCCTCCAGCTTGAAAGATACATTGTAAAAGTTGAGCGCGAGCAAACGTTTCGTCCTGCAGGCATCTCGCGTCTCTCGCATTTTATTAGACAGATTTCAATGGGAGAATGCGCGTCGTACATGCGCGCAACGACTGACACGTCGCGCGCGCGATTATACGCGAAAATTAAAGACGGCCGGCTCGCTTCTCGCCTATCTCTCCCTCCTTCCTCCTGTCGCTCTTTCTCACGTCTTATGTATGCGAGCATACGCCTTCCTATTATCGCGAAAGGCTCGATGGACTTGTACATTTTGTATCAGGCAACGTCTCGGGCGAGCGCGCGCGCGCGCGAAATTAAATTCCACGTCAGCGACGACGTCGGTTACGTCCGACGATAGCGAAGGGAAACTTGAGGCACCCCTTGGAAATATGCTACAGAGAAAGTTGGATACATCGTACGGGCGGGCAAGGGACAGGACGAGCGTGAAGCGCAAGTTGAGTTGAGCCGAGAGAGAGGGGGAGAGAGAGAGAGAGAGAGAGAGAGAGAGAGAGAGAGAGAGAGAGAGAGGGGGAGAGAGAGAGAGATAGATAAAAGGACGACGGAGGGGAAAAGGGTGATGAGAATCGAAAGGGGTTGGCAGCCGGGACACACCGGGTTTTGATCCGATCGGGACGATTCTTCAGAAACATTTGTTTACGTTCCTGTCACGAATTCCCGACCAGACGGGGAATTAATCTACTGCCGTGCGGACGTCGTGACCGCGTGGCTTGCCGATCGATAGTGGAAGAAGACGACGTTTAATCAGACGCGCTCAACTAACGCGCGGCGGGCCACGGCTGTGCGGTAGACGCAGCCGAGAAGCGAAACACGCGACAGACGGATGGCATTTATTTCGTAATCTGGCACTTTCGGCCTGGAGTAAGGTAAGCGAGGGATGATCGGAAAAAATGAGCCCTCTTACGAGGAAGAACCGCGATAATAATATGATTAACACAATAAACGGAGAATAATATAATATTTAGGTGGGGATAATGGAGCAACGTGATTTGGAGCATAATAAATGGGATAACAAATAAATTTATGTATGAATGAGAGAATAAATGCATGACTGGGTTAATAAATTAATAAATAAATATGTAGATATATATACATATATAGATATACATACAGGGTGCTAAATTTCAATCGTAACAGGTAAAGAATCTCGAAAACTGAATGAAAGATACTGAAAGAAGCTAAAACACGTGTCCCATGATTTCGAAGGGGAAAGAGAATGTCATTATCAGTTTTTTATTTGGAGGGCATTTTCAAGGTCAGTTGAAGGTCAACTTCATTTTTTTAAATAGAAAGCCCATTTTTTTATTATATCTTCTTTTTCCACCAATTTTAATCAATTAATTTTAACAACTTTTGTCCGAAACATTTTTTTATTTGCCTAATATTTTTTGAAGTATTTAAGGAAAATTTGGTGACTTTTTCAACATTTAACTTACGATATCTCGCTAACCATTTGTCAGAAGAAAAAGTGGTACTAGACCTTTTTGCTCTATTCAGTCTCAAGAACATATTTTTACAACAGCGCCCTGACTTTTATCAACTTATCGATCTTGAATCGACTTTGAAAATTTCAAAATTATTAAATGAACAAAAGTTAGGGCACTATTATAGTAATATATTTTTGATAGTAAATAAAGTAAAAAAGTCTAGTACTATTTTTTCTTTCCACGAATAGTTGGCAAGATATCGTAAGTTAAATGTTGAAAAAGTTACACCAAGTTTTCCTGAATTATTTAAAAAAATATTAGGCAAATAAGAAAATGTTTCAGACAAAAGTTGTTAAAATTAATTGGTAGAAAAAGAAGATGTGATAAAAAATTGGGCTTTCTATTTTAAAAAATCAAGTTGACCTTCAAGTGACCTTGAAAGTGCCCTCCAAATAAAAAACTGATAATGCCATTCTCTTTCCCCTTCGAAATCGTGGAACACGTGTTTGAGCTTTTTTTAATATCTTTCACAGTTTTCGAGTTTTTTACCTGTTACGTTTGAAATTTAGCATCCTGTACATACGAGATGTTTAACGACGGGTGGAGAACGCTCGTGCGCGTACAGTTTAACTCAAAATTTCATACGGTCGTTTGCAAGATGCGAAAGGACTTTTGCGCACACTCTGACCTGATTTACATATATGTGAACGTTTTCCCATCTACCGCCAGAGACTCCCTCTGTGTCACACATATATTACACTTACGCAGTGTATAAAAAATACCGGCGAAATATCTCGAAAACTAAGCATTTTAGAAAAAAATTCGGACAAAAATCACGTAGTTTCAAGGGGGACGTGAAACAACTGTATCAGATTTGTTTGCAGATGGCGCCACTTTCGATATTCACTGATCATTATACTTTTCTCAAATGGAAATCCCAAGTTTCTATCGTATCATCTAGTTCTACCAATTGATTTCAACAACTTTCTTCTGGAACGTTTTTCCCTAAAACGCTTAGTTTTCGAGATATTTCGTCGTCCCGGTACTTTTTATACACCCTGTATATTTTACACACGTATATTGCACTTGTACAATGCGCGTATTATATTACACATATAATATAATGTGCGTATACGTACATAAGTACATATATACATGTATCGATATTGTTCGTTTGAGAGCACATAGTTTTCATTAAATAATTACGATAGCGACAAGTGTCGCGAGCACAACACACGAAATACCGCTGCAGGCAAAACTGTCTGCTACGAGCGGCACGACGGCACTGCAGGTAGATCGGCAGCAAAACACGTTTCGTGTGCCGCGGGCTTAATGTGTAGACCGTGTCCCGTTTATCTCCACTATGTCTACATCAAATGCTACAAAATCGTTACCCTCCCGGTTATGGTTGAGTGGAAAGATAACGCGAATTCTGCATTATATCACAAGCTCGGTGATACCTAGAACTAATGACGAAGTAAACGATATCGATCGATCGGAGGGGGCGGGTGGCGGCGAGGAACGTGCGATGAAATCGGTCGCTCTCATGAATTTTTGGCCGATGTTTCGAGTTTCGACCGAGGAAAAGTTTCGTCGAAAAAAAAAAAAAAAAAAATGATAAAAACAACAGGAAAGTATGAAGAAAAATTTCATTCCCGTTGTGTCGTTGAAGCGATCATTCGTCCGCGCACGCTTTCCGCGAAGTAATTTTTCATCGTTTGATTAAAAATGTATACGCGTTATGCTCGTGTATATATTTTGCGAAAAGAACGCATCAATTTTTCGCCGAAGTCGCCGCGATGTATAAAAAATGTTCCTTCCGAAGTCTCGACGTTTCCGCATAAGCTATCGAATACGGTCGCGGCGAAGAGCAAATTCGTCGTCTTCTCCGCTACGCCAAGGTGCTCCGAAACCGTCGTGGCCGTGCGATAACGCAAATTTCCAAATAGAAATAACAAAGGATTAAGAAACTCGAATTAAAAGTTATTCCAACGATAGGAGCCTCTCTCATTGTCGCGTATCCGACATTGTCGACGCTCGAGAAAACAGAAAGGCCCGGTCCGGCTGTCGAGTCGACTCGAATCGCAAGCAACTCGGAAAGTGGGAAATTCAAAATACCAGGCTTGATCAAAGAGTAAGGAGAATTTTGAAATTCCGCGCGCTGTATCTTGTCTATTCAGTTGATTCCTTTTTTGTGTGTTGGTAGCACTACCAGTGAGGTACGTGTCAATTTTCAGGCATGTGCGACGCTTAGTTTGTATTTTGCGAGCGAAGACGTACTTCAGTGTGTTTGGCGACTTTTTGTGTGGCGAAATCAATCGGATCAGAGAGCATACCGCTTTGCTTATCCAACAGTTCTTGGCGAGACACAACACCGTTATGATGCCGCGATCACCTTATTCTCCAGACATGGCTCCCTGTGACTTCTTCCTATTTCCCAAACTCAAAAGGACACTCAAAGAACAATGTTTTCCAACAATAGATGAGATAAGGGCGAAATCGCAGATCCAGCTCAAGACGATACTTAAAGAGGCGTTTCACCGGTGTTTCTCAAACTGGAAGCTACGTTGGCATAAATGTACCAGGTATGTAAATATGAAACCGGAATTTTTGTATAGAAAATACACGTTTATTGTATGAAAATGATAAAAAATATTTTATTCCAAGTATTGCCCATCGCTAGCTATACTATATTTTTCCCACCTGTCTGACAATTTGTGGATGCCAAAAAACTGTTGCTCTTTTGAGGCAAACCAGTCATCGAGCCATTTTCGTACATTTTCGTAAGAAATGAAGCGCGCTGCTCAGCAAGTGCGTGTCCCATCGATGCAAATAAGTAGTAATCGGACGGAGCCAAGTCTGGTGAGTAAGCCGCATGCGAAAGTATTTCCCAACTAAACGCCTCAATCGTTTCCTCGACCAGTTTTGCTGTGTGTGTGATGGTGCATTATCATGAAGCAAAATCACTTTGTGTTGCCTTTTTCTGGTTGCCTATTCTGGTTGTTTTTCACGCAAAGCTTGATTCAAATCGATCATTTGTTGTCGGTAGCGTTCAGTATTAACGGTTTCGCCAGGTTTTAGCAGCTCATAATAGATCACACCCTTCTGATCCCACCAAACACAGAGCATTGTCTTCCGTCCATAGCGATTTGGCCTTGCAGTCGATGTCGATGGTTCGCCTGAAACCATCCACCCATGATCTTTTACGCTTAGGATTCTCAAAATATATCCACTTTTCATCGCCAGTCACAATTCGATGGAGAAATGACTTTCTTTTGTACCTGGCGAGCAGCATTTCGCAAGTGGTTTTTCGGTTTTCCTGCTGTCTTTCATTCAGTTCATGTGGAACCCATTTTCCCATCTTCTGGATCTTTCCCATGGCTTTCAAACGTATGGAGACGGCTTCTCGTGTCACATCAAATTGATCCGCGAGTTGTTGTTGCGTTTGAGCGTCATCCTCATCCAACAATGCTTGCAATTCGCTGTCTTCAAACTTTTTCGGTGGTCTTGCACGTTCTTCGTTTCTCACGTCAAAATCGCCACGTTTGAATTTTTTAAACCACTCAAAGCACTGTGATTTACCAAGAGCATGCTCACCGTAAGCTTCGACAAGCATTCGATGCGATTCTGCAGCAGTTTTCTTCAAATGGTAACAGAAAATCAATGCTGTCCGCAAATCGTAGCTTCCAGGCAGAAAATTCGACATGTTCAACGCTATTACAAACTATGCTGTTGTATGAAACTTGTATTGTTGTGAGTTGAAAATCTTTGTCAGATGTCAACAAATGGAAATGGCGCCAATGACGCGGTTTGACGGTAACTACATTGACAGCTAGGGCCATCTGTGGGCAAATTCCGGTTTCATATTTACAGACCTGGTATAATATCACAGGCGGACCACTTTGAAGAAGATGGGATAAACATTGAAGATTAAATAAATATACTTTCCGAGAAAATAAGAAATTCTCGTTACTTTTTAATCAAACCTCGTAGCCGCGCGACGGATCTTCGCGAACTTCGCGTCTCTCCAGTCGGCGAGATATTCTAATCTCTCGTCGAGATCGGATCACCCCGAAATATATCAGGTCGAAGTCAAGAAAATTTTCCCTTGACGAAGGGCCGACCGATCGCGGGAAAGGCGGAAGGGGAGGCGGTCAGCTCGTCGCGGAACGGACCTAACGAGATCGAGCGTCATCGAGTTGAGCGCGGAGGTGGGTAGAAAATGTCCGCCGGGGCAGCGAGCGTGGGTCCAGTTACGGCGATTCGATAGCGTCTAACAGGGTTGGCGCAGGGGAGCATAAACGACAACGAAGACTTCGCCGCAGCTGTGTGAAGTTGGCCCCCCGACCACCAGGAATTTAATTTTGACCATTGCCATTCGTTTGGTGGTCGTTTGGTAGCGTTTGGTAGTCCGTTCCCAAGCGTTTGGTAGTCAAAATTGTTTTCGTTATTAGTGAAAGTCGAATTTGCATTTGTGAAGCTGGCTTTCTAAGTTTAAAAAATGTTACGCGACATTCCCTTGTCGCGATATTCTATGTAACTTTCATTGTGACAAATTTTTTGGTGGTCATATTTTTACGGTCGGTAGTCAATTCCTGACGTTTGATAGAAAATAGTAGTAATTATTAATGAAAATCGAATTTGCGAGTGTTAGGTTGGCCTGCCAAGTTTAAAAAAGCACTTCCCACGGTATCCTTTCATAATATACATAATTTTCATTATAATCATTTGTTTAATGCAAAGTTACTAAAGATTTGCTTATTGACGAATTTCTGGGCAGAAGACGCATCGACAAGAAGGGGTATTGACATCACCGCGAATCCCAGTGGCGTCTATTCAGCGGCTTCAAGTGGTTTTCATTGACAATATGTGATATGTAAAATCGAATTTAAGCATCAGTTTGATTATAAACACTAATAAACGAGGTAAGTATTAAACATAACTTATATAAAAAAAATATTTCCTTTGAAACTAACAAACTAAAATGCCGCTACCACGATCATATACGTAATATAATAACCACTACTACGTTAAGTGCGTTAGGATTCTCTGTGACGTGACGAAAGAGTGGGGATATAGAGTAAACCTCTATAGTTTAGTAATTTTGGTCTAATGGAAGCTATTTTATGTTTATTTCATCACGAACGATAATCGAAATTGCAATCGTAAGGAAAATAGAAGTTTTAATGAGAATTACAAAAGTTCATAACAAAAAAAATTATTTTTACTTATAAAACAGTTAAACGACTACCAAAAACGATTGGTAATGGTCAAAATGATCCAAGATGCCGTGGAAACCGATTTTCGAGCCGGGAGGGCCAACTTCACATAATAATTTTTTGCGAGAACTATTGCACTTTTGACCACCAAACGTTAGGAATGGACTACCAAACGCTACCAAACGACCACCAAACGAATGGCAATGGTCAAAATTAAATTCTTGGTGGTCGGGGGGCCAACTTCACACGGCTAGACCTCGCGGCCGGCCATCAACGATGGCGCGAGGCGGTATCGAGCGAGAGAGATCCGCGAGAGATCGGCGGCAGGAGGAAGGATCGCGCGGCGAAAAATGCGCGTACCAGTGGCTCGCATCGCGGCCGGCGTCACGGCTCCAGGTACCCGCAACGGGATCTCCGGCCGCTTCCTCGTGATCGCGAGTCTCTCCGTGCGCTTGGTGATCTGGTAAGTGAGCGCGCTCGCCGCCACCACAAAAGGTTCCTTGGCCTTCGGCTGCTCTCGGACCGTCGGCTGCGCCAATGCCTCCAGTCGCTTCGGATCGACCGGCCGCCACTTTCTTTTCTTTGTCTGCAATAGCGGCGTGACTCGCACGAGATCTCTGATAGAAGGTAAAGGGAGGGAGAAAGAGGGAAAGAGAGAAGGACAAAGAGAAAGAGAGCGAAGAGTCAATAAGAACCTTTGAGACTCCCGGTTAAGGCGCTTCCTGGTCGAGTCAGGTCGAGTCGCATCGCGTCACGTACTGTTTGGCTACTCGTAAGCTTCGCGACGTTCGACCAGCGAGAGACTCGCACCTGCACCTCTGATCGTTTGATTTTATACCGCGCGTGTTATTTATTCGTCCACCCGGTATTTTCAAGGTCGAGTCACGTCGCGTCGCGTCGTGTTTGGATACTCGTGAGAATCGCGACCGGAGAGCCCGAACTTCGCTCTCGATCGATTTTATATATCACGGGACGTGTTATTTCATCGCCCAGCTGGGAGATCAAAGTGAATGCCGTGATGAAGTAACTTCATTGTAGGAATAATTAATCAATGATAATACACGCGTCGAGCGAAAAGTACACAAAGCTGCTTTCGCTGGAAACTCGAACGCGCGCGGACTTCCGTGATATACGAGGGTGTAGTCCCAGAAGTACCTGACCTAACAAAGAAAACACAAAAAATTTGGGAAAAAATATCTTTATTTCTCTACATAGTCTCCTTTTAGCTCAACATACTTTTCCCAGCGATGTTCAATAACTTCGATACTCTGTTTATAGTGGGAATCGTCGAGCTCCTCAAAATAGCCATCAAGCCACCTTGGTTCATAGTGGTTTTGACTGTTCCTTCGTCTCAGGTGTGAAGTGATGGACCCATGTTTCATCCATGGTTATGAATCGACGCAAAAACTCGGCTTTATCGCTGCGAAACTTCGCCAAACACTCGATTGAGACATCCTCGCGACGCTGTTTTTGTTCCAATCGCGGCACCCATCTTGCGCGCAGCTTTCTCATGTCCAAATTTTCAGTCAATATGCGATGTACAGCACTTTTTGAAATGCCTACCATGTCTGCTAATTCGCGCATTTTCAGTCGACGGACATCCAATACCATTTTGTGGATTTTCTTCACCATTTCTGGCGTGGTCACCTCATTTGGTCGATGTTCGTCTTGGCAGTTCGTACGGCCTCGTTTAAACTCTGCCACCCGATATTTTACTGTTGTAAACGAAGGAGCAGACTCCCCCGGAGTAGAATCTAGCTCCGCTTTCATATTGGTTGGACTGAGGCCTTTCAAATGAAAGTATTGTATCACATAACGATGACCAATTTTTTCCATGTTTACAAATTCACTGAGAGCGTTCACTACTGATGGCTGCCAAGCAAATACTAAACAACGTAGCGTCGTCAAACTTCAAACTTAAGCTTTATAAGGCTGGTACTTTCTACCATAGTCACTCTTTTCAAACAACAACCGCTATCTATACGTTGGGTCAGGTACTTCTGGGACTACCCTCGTATCCTTCCAATTCACCGAACAATTCTCTCCGCCCCTTTCGCCGACACGAGAGACAGTTTTAGTTTCGTTTCCACGCATTGACAGTTTAGTTTTACACAAATTACGGGACAACTGCACGGATCTGACAAGCGGACCCTCGACGTCAACTAGCAAGTTCCGAGACGTCGGCGAGTAACTGCTCGAAACGTCACCGTCAGTCCGCGCTTGTAATTATGACGCTGCAGCATTCGCCATGGCTCTTAATTATGGCTACTCGTATTGGCTGATTTATTGGGGACAGCGGACCGCCGCTGTAATTGGGACATTCATCTAATTTGTCGAGGTCGAGTCGCAGGTTTGGACACTCTCGTAAGAATCGCGACGGCCGTCTCTCGATTTCCCGAGTTACACGACGCGTTATTTAATTGTTCTAGCGGCGCTTTAAACTGTCCACGCGCGTTCCCGCGGGGAAGCGCTTGTCATCGCCGTCAAACTGTCCGATGCAGTTCCGAATTGTCGCGAGAATCCGCAACGCGGTTCTCTCTCTCTCTCTCTCTCTCTCTCTCTCTCTCTCTCTCGCCGGTCGGCGAGAAAGCGACAGCGCAAGGCGTTACCGGCGCCTTCGCTCCGTCGTTATCGATTATCGTCCTGGCGGAATCGGCCCGGACGTTCGCTCTTATCTGGATCGATTACTACCGATAAGCGAGCGGAGGGGCAAGGGGCGGCAGGGAGAGAGGAAGAACGGCGACGGCAGAATGGCGATAATTTCTTACTGGTTTCTTTTTGGGCCTCACGACCTTCGGCGCGGCGAGTCTCTCCAACACCCGCATGTGCCGTTGCCAGTCTTCCGGCTTCGTGAGCGCCTTGCGCAGCTTGGCCATTAGTCTCCTCCTGGACAGGGAGCGACGATTTTCAGCGCGACAAATCTCTCGCCCGCTCGGGGAGCAAATGAACGCGCATATCCCGGACACCGAGGTGCTCGCGAACCACGACGAAGGCTGATCGCACGCGTGCGCGCGAGAAGAGAGTTATCTTGCAGCGCGGATCGTGATATATATCAGGTGAATCGCTGCTTTTTTCAATGTTGCATAAACGCGATAAGGCATAAATGCAACCTCGACACATCCATTGGGCATCGACACATCCTATTAATAATTATTTCCCGTACCGCTATCGCATGTCCGCTGTCGTTAATTAAAGGCAGAATTTGATGCACCTCCATTCGCGGCGCGGCGCGGCGCGGCGCGCAATTGATACGGCGGGGGGTTTCAGCTTACGTTTTATTACTTACCCGTTAATGTTGCCGCGGCTTTGCAGAAGCGAGCTAAGTACGCTTTTACTGAATAATTAGTGAATTTCATTTAAATTCATACCACCGTGTCGATACAGACCTCCGTGTATAAATCTACGCGGAAACGAGGAGGAAAAAGAGAGCGAGAGAGAGAGAGAGAGAGAGAGAGAGAGAGAGAAAGTAGAATTTAAACACGAAATAACCGGTCTCTTTAATTTCGTATAATTTCCGCGCGAGGGATTAAAGCGGTCGCGTGACTTTCCGTATTTTTACTGTTCGACGAGTCACTTGCGCCGGATCCGAGGAAAAATTGTATGTCTAGGATGCGCGTGTCGTTCGCAGCGAAAAAGTGACATGATGGCGGCAGGCGGTATCGGGTTTACTTTTTCTTGGCTTCTCGTTCTTGACGCGCATTGCAGAATACGCGATACCGCTGGTACCGTGACTTTCGAACCTTCAGCAGCAGATCGCTCACGGTTGCCTTCATGCTTTTCGTACGGGCCAATTGCATCGCTGCCAGCAGATCCCTAACGTTCAAGGCGCCGTTTAAGTCACACACCGTACATCCATCCATCCGTCGACCGAGTCTCGACTGTCGCGCGCGTCTTCTCCACCCCGACAAGTCGCTCCGTCAAATTACGAGCAAGATCGCGCGATCGTCCCGACTGCGTCGCCGTATTAAGCGCAACATGTGATGATGATTCTCCCCCCTGCCCCCTGCTCTCTGTGTCTCTCCCCCGCCATCAGAGATAAAACAGCCAATTGATCAGCAAAACAATCGTTCCCCGTTTGAATCGCCCGCGATCTCCGCACGGCGATAATTCCGAGTCAGACGTTAATGAGCCCCGGGGATACTAACGCTAATTAGTTTCGCGTTAGTCGAGACTCGAACGTCTCTGCCTTCGACGACGGGACGCAAACGGACGCACCTCTTCCGCGGCAACGCCAGCTCGACGATGCGTCTGCTGCTCTTGGCCGCGAGCGTCTTCGGGTGGATACGCGGGTAAGGAGGCGGCGCCGCTCTGCGCGATAATAAATTTCGTAGAGGAGCCGCGATAACCCGACGGGCTACCGTAGGTGAGGCGGACGACTGTGCACTTACGCGGCCTCGTATTTCTTGGTTACGAATTTGGGCTGCGCCATAACCCGGATGCGCTTGGAGGCGCGGCACCGCAGGGCCGCGCGCCGAACACTAAAGGGATCCGCCTGGAAAGTACGTCGATATAAGTATCACGCTGGAGGAGACACAAAGGGCCTTTCGCGCGAGAACGAGGCGTCGAGGCGCTCGAGCACCTGCTGCATCGATCGTTCTCGACTGAACGTTTTTCCGTGGGATAGTGAGACAGAGTGAAAGACGCAGGGCGAGAGCGAGAGAAAGAGAGAGAGAGAGAGAGAGAGAGCTGTAGGAGTGACGGGGGGAAAGGAGGCGAGCGAGCGAGCGAGAGAGAGAGAGAGAGGGGAAGGGAAGGTGAGCGGTATTATCTCTCATAACGACTATTTGATTCTACGGAGGATACGGCGCGGCGATAACGACTTAGCGCAATAACGAATTTCAACCGGATATTTTCAGGGCGAGGTGTGTGACGTCACATCAGATATCCCGCGGAAATTTTTATTCCAGCGCGCACATAAGCCGCCCCGCCGTGGGGCGCTGGGTTTGAATTTGCTCGTTGGCGGAAAAGGGTAGAGAAAGAAGAAGAATAAAATGGCAGAGCAAGAGAGAGAGAGGGAGAGAGAGAGAGAGAGAGAGAGAGAGAGAGAGAGAGAGAGAGAGAGAGAGAGAGAGAGAGAGAGAGAGAGAGAGAGACAGAGAATGAAAGAGAAAACGAGATACGTGTCGGTGCCTTTCGTACTGAAGGTACGTCAGCCTCCGGACGAGAGTAACGCGCGCGTGACAAACTTGCAGACGCGAGCGGAAGCTCACGCTCGAGTGGATTGGGATTTTCGTGAAAAAACGTGTTATATATTATTGCACGCAGAGCCGCGCTGATACGTCCGTCCGTCCGTCCGTTCGTCCTACCGACCGACCGACCGACCGACCGACCGGTCAGGACGGGGATGAAAGTCCCGCTGACGGAAATGTTTCTTCTCGCCAGCGGAGACGTCGAGACGGCCGAAGAAGCGGTGTGGCGGTTCGGTATCAGTGGCGGCGGGATGTTACCACGAGGTTGACGTCGAATCTGCGAAGTCGCCGCCAGTTCGGACGCGCCAACAGCGCGATGTGCTCCTTGCGCGATAAATGAGCCATGGCGTATCTGAGCCGCAGCGCGAGCATCTTATCGCGGCGACCCTTTTTCATCTTCCTTCTTCTCGTGGCTCCCCGGGCGCTGGTGATGACCAAGCGTTTCCGCTATGCTCAATTAAATTACACCGTCGCCGTCGCCGCCGCCGCCGCCGCCACTTCGAGATGCGGTTTCTCCGCCGCGCCAGTAGTGAGAATACTACGTATTCACCGGCGGGAAGGAAGGACGCGGCGAAAATTAAACGACACTCGCGAGCTGAAGCAATACGCTGTAATTTCTTCCATCGCCGCTTCGCGGCACGCGGATTCTCCACCGTGAGATTTTTCCACCCGGCCTTCGGCCCGACCGGACTGTCTCAGCTGATGATGCGGATGCGGCGACAAAATACGAGCGCCTCGAAGCAGCCTGAATTCGCCGTCGCGCGGCAGCTTTCACGGCTGTTTAGCGCCGTAGACTTGCGCGTACATTAGGAAAAAAAAATGTAGTATCTCTAACAAAACTGTTTAGTTGAGGCATTTATTAATAGCAACCAAATATCTTGTTTTATATAACAGAATATTTAGTTGTCTCAACTAAATATATTTTTCTGCTTTGTTCTCTGGACCAAATGATTTGGTCCTTAGACTTCATATATAAAAATTAAGCATTTTAGTTATTTTATTCATAAAAATTACGCAATAACGAAATATTATTTTACATAAACTAAAATAATGCCCAATGGATACTATTTTGTCTTTCTGTGCACTAAAATTTAGATTTTATATATTAAGAAAAGATTATATAGTATTTTTAACAAAATTCATATATAGTTAAAGCTTTATGGTCGCTATGACAAAAGTATTACGTTATACGAACAAACCGTAATCAAACAAGATATTTGTCTGCAGGAACTAAACAGTTTTGCCGGGCATATTTTAATCAAATTATTTTGTTGTTGCAACAAAATTTTGGTTCACGCAACAATACATTTTTCCTAGTGTAGACAGAGACTTTGCGCTTCGCAAAAGAATTGCAAAGAGCGCGGAAGAAGAGGACGGCTGTATCTCTATTTCTCTAGTTTCGTTCTAACTGGAAAATTATATAACCGTCCTGGACATCTTGCGTCTCGGAATATCTCTTACAGGGCGCGAACGAGACGAGTTTGTTTTCCCTGCTGAAGTGGTCTACACTTTGGAACTTGAAAAGAGACAGGTATATACAGCTGGGGATTTGCTGGAGAAGAGAGGAGGAGAGAGGCCAGCGCAGCGGCCAGTTCAGCAATGGAAAACGAACCTCGCGCGTGGCTGCGTCCAGAAAACACACAGCGGTTGTGCGAGCGCTCGGTGCGCAAATGTTTTGTAACCAATGTGTACTTTCGGATCTACCAATGACAAATGCCTCATGGCGCCTTTTTGCAAAAGTTCGTTACTGCGTTGCGTTTTTCGGCGCAGTTCGCCTGCGTGAGCCTCGTGAGTTCAGCGCGGCCTGTATTCCGCGTATCACTCCAAGGGCACGTTTCTAACGCCGCGTTTTCCAGTTTTTTCTTTTTTCTTTTTCATTTCATGAGCACTCGCCGCGGATTCCGAGTGCGGATGAGGCGCATTGTGGCGTCGAACGGGACGGACGTGTACAAGCGCGCGCGCGCGCGCGCGCGCGACAAAAGCCTTCTAATTCCGGCGCGACAGGATCCGTCGCGTAAGCGCCGCGCATTTGCATACGCCGAATATTTGTCAAGCTCCGAATCACGGGAGAAATAATCCGTCGGGACGAAGTTTCGCGACGCTCGCTCGCTTGCTCGCGACAGGGGCTGCACGAGGAGGAGAGGAATTTAAGGCTGATTCTCACTGCCCGTCTACGCAGTAGACGCAGAGAGTCTGTTGATTCCTCGGCAAGAAGAGTTCCTCGGCGACTTTGCGTCGCAACATCCACACGTCGCCGTCACATCTCGATCATGCCGATAAACGAAGGAAAAAGTGAAAGAGAAATTAACGAAAGATCAACTTGATCTTTCCTCCTGCCTGCCGTCGCCTAGACGGGTGTGAGAATACAGCCTTAAACGCGACAGAGACAAGAAGGGGTGGGAAGGGTGCAACGATTTTCCTCAAGCCCCTTGGAACATGCGGGGATCCGCGGAGAAAATACGTGCCTTCGCGGCGCGCAATCGAGCGCGAAAGTATCTTCTCTCATCCTTTTCCCCCCTCCCCCTTCCCCCCGCCCTCTCTCTCTCTCTCTCTGGCGCGCGTTCCACTTAAAATGCATACGGTAAGATTGAAAATAAAGCGGTCGACCGCGCGTACCGTTTATGCATTTTTAATGCGCGACGGAATGAGCCGAGTGTCGGGGCGCAAAGGGAAGCGACATCGACGAGGACGAGGGACAGATGTAATTTTCCGGCCCGGGTCCAAGTCTCGACGTAGCGCGGATAAAAGTTCGTCCAATGAAGAGATCTCTTAAGAGACTTGTTGGTTTTATTCCTTCCTCGAGTCGCCCACGAGCGCGGAGGACACTCTAGACTAGGCCCTCCCCTCCCCTTTATCCCCCCCTCCCCCGCGCTACCTGTCTCTTTCGCTTTCCTCTCCGTTCCGTTGCGTTTCGTTTCGTCTCTCCTATCCCCCTCCTCGCCCTCCCTCTTCTTCCCTTCTCTCTCTTCACGTATCCTGCCTTACGGTCTCTCTCACATCGTTCCGCCGTTTCCTCCTGCTCCGAAACTGACCCTCCCCTCCCCCCTCCCCGCCCCGGCCGCCGGCGACTCCCTCCCTCCCTCCCTCTGTCAACCCCGCATGGGAAATCTCAAATACGAGTCTGTTTACCTGGCACTTGAAATCCCAGTGGATATCGATGATAAGATTTCGCCCCCATCGCCTTGCCGCCGCCGCCGCCGCGTTGCGCCCGTCCGCTGCCTGCCTGTTCCGCCCTGCAGTACTCTCGCCGTACAGATTATGCAATTTATATCGCGCGCGTTAACTACCTTTGCGGTGCAACGACCATTGCGAGTGCAATAATGCGGATAGCTCGGCGCGTATCGGGGCCGCCGCAACTCCCTTGGAAATATCCGGCGAACTTGCAGCTCGAGGGCGCGCGCGCGCGCGCGGATTTGTCGGGAACGCTCGAGTCTTTCGAGCCTGCCGACTCGTAAATAGATTCTCCGTCGTTCCCGTTAAGCTGACGGCCGCCGTTAGATCGACGACGATCACGTTGGCTCTCAGGGACACTGACAGTTTCGATTCGCCGATCCCGACACTCGCGACGTGACCTCGCTCACCGAAGCTGGCGAAGGGCACTTCGAAACCGGAGAGCGTCCCTCGCTGACTTCGATGAGCCTTCGATATATCGTGGAGAAGACAAAAATAAGGGACACCTGCTTGCCTCTATCGGTGCTTCCTCTCTCTCTCGCGCGCGCGGGTCGAAACAGCCGGCCGAAGTAATTCCATGTTTCACCATGAGCGAAGAATTTTTCTGTTTAACCGCCAGATATTTGAGAGAATGTTTCGTACAAGTTTCGTCTTCCACGTATGTCCCGTCACCTTCAGATCGTTGTTGTCTATGCGAATTTAACGACCCTCCTGCGAGGAATGAGAATCAGAAAGGGTTTTACGTAACATTCTCAATCGAGCTACATTATTTCCTGAGGTCGCATCCTTGGAGTACGAAATGGTCATGTAAACGTAGCGCTGTAAGTAGTTGAGATCCGCTGCGGTCAGACGGCGACTCTGGCCCGCGCTCTGTCTGACCGCGAACGTCTGCAGCTACTTACGGCGCGGCGCGTACCACTCGTGTCTCAAACACGCGAACTCAAGAAATAATTTTATTGCACTCAGACAAATTTGCGGTCAAAGTTCTCTTCAATTTTTGATCCTACGAAAATCTCGGAATTCGTATATACGGTGATGACGAGTAACAACGGCATATAATGTTTAATACGCGATGCGTGAATAATAATATGATGACGGAAAGCCACATTTCTGGCAGATGTAAATGCTGAATTATAAAACGCGCGAGGTATTATAAAATTTTCGTCCAAATTATTCTTTCGAATATCTTGCGGTTTCGAAGAGATTCACTCATAATTAAGTATCAAACGCGTGAAATTAGCTTCTGTGAGATCGCCGAACTCCTAAACGTGCATGAGAAGCATAAAAAACGTATCTCTTATTTCTGGCTTTGTTGCGATATATTCAATCGATGTTTGAATATCTCTTAATACTAATCGCAGAATATCAATTGTAAACGATATTTCTCTCTGCGTATTTTCGATAATAATCGCGCGGATTTTCAAAGTGTGGGCGGGTGTGAGATTCAAACAATGGAAATCACGGTTCTGCCTTTGAAATCGACGACGGGGTATCCAGATTTCTCGCGAAATCCGATCGTTTAAAAACTCGCGGAGGGACGTTGGAATCCCTTCTCTAATGCTCGCACTGCGAAGCGCGACCCATAAAAAATACGGATCCTTCTCTCTGTACAAATAAAGACTCGCTAGTAAAGCGCGGTACGTGTCCCTCCCTCTCTTCTTCTCTCCTTCGCAGGAATAAATCGTAATGTTTTACGACCGATGCATTTAGCCATGGTTTATGCGCAAATTAATTTAGCTGAGCGCAAGGGGAAAAATCCAGGAACGGAGAGAGATCTCCCGGCCGTTTTTGTATCGTAATTTTTCATACCGACGCAAAACGCGAGCTACACACGCCGGAATATTCCCTTTAATAGTTTAATTTCTCCTGTATGTTTCGCTGATTTTTTAATGAAACGTCATATAGTAACTCACGTATCTCCGGCTCCTCGTTCCTCTCCCCCTGCCCGTTCCTCCTTCTCTTCCCCCCTACCGGAACTCTTCACTCGCTCTAATATGATAATCAGATGTGACGATGCAATGACGCGCGCGCGCGCGCGTACGACAGAGAGGAAGAGAGAGAAAGGACAGGTCTCCGTCACCTAGGGCGGAAATGTTGCTTTAACAAAATTCAGCAGCTGGAATTTCGGCGACGGGAATATTCGTCCATGGTGCGGATGAAATTGGGATTTGTCGGATTTGCGGATATTCTGTGCCGACGTTACGGATATCCGGATTTTTCAATATACCAAGTAATCTCAATCGTGTTTTCGTTTCGTGTATTTTTTTCTGTCTCTCTTCCATTCTCTCTCTCTCTCTCTCTCTCTCTCTCTCTCTCTCTCTCTCTCTCTCTCTCTCTCTCTCTCTCTCTCTACCTCTCCTCGTCACTCGTCACTCCTCTCTTTCTCTCTACCTCTCCTCGTCACTCGTCACTCCTCTCTCTCTCTCTCTCTCTCTCCCCTCTCTCTCCTC